AAGTGCCAGCGCCCGACAGAGCGCGCGCTCGCCTTGACAGCGCAAGCGGAGCATCCGGAGCTGGCGGCCCGCGGCAACAAGCTCCGTAAGCTCGTCGAGCACGGCAGAAACCCGGATGCTCAGCGACGTCAAGCGCGGCAGGTCCAGCGTGCGAGAGAGGACAGCTACGACCTCCCGCCGCGTCAACAGATAACTGTAGATATCGAGCGACTCGAGATGCATGCACGTCGTCGCAAGAGTCTCCAGGAGCAGCTCCGTCGACGAAGAGAGGTCGCAATCGGGAAGATGAAGCGATGTCAGCGCTGGGACCGACGACAAGCCCGCGATCAATGCCGGCATGTCGTCGGCGTGCAACCTGGAGACCATGAGGCACTGCAGTTGCGACAGCATCGGCGCCGCCGCCGAGCATGCCGCCAACTGGCCAAAGACGTTGCAATAGAGACGCTTGAGCTGCGTGGGCCCGACGGCGGTCGCGAGGTCCGTCAGCGCTGTGACGTCGACGACTCTGTCTGGGCGGCTCTCCCACGCCAAGGTCTTCAACGACACTGGGAGCGTGCGACCGTGGAAGCCACCGAAGGCAGGTGCGTTGTACATGGTGAGCTCTCGCAGCGTCGCGCTGGCTTGGAGCGCATCACAGAACGCGATGGCCCCATCGTGGTCCATCTGGGTGACATTGGCCAATTGGAGGATCGTCGCTGGTGCCGTCGAAAGCCACGTTGCCAAGAGGTGCCCGAGCCGCGGCGTGGCGGTCATGTCCGGCAGGGAGATATCCAAATCTTCGACATGCGGGTGGGCGACGACAGCAAGCAGATCGTTGAGCTCGACGGTCTCGTTCTCCGACAAAGTAAAGCACATGATAGTCACTTTGCGCAGACGTGGGCAGCGCTGCAAGAGGAGGTCGCTAATGGCTTGGCCTTGGACCGTGCATCCGATGAAGAAATTGAGAGTGACGCTGCTGAGCGCAGGTCCGAGGACGGCGACGAACGAGGCCAGTAGTGGCGCTGCGTCCCGGATCGCACCCCGGAGTTCGATGCGTGGACGCAGCGGCAGCGTCGCCGCGACCAGCGTCAAGACAAAAGGCGGCAACTCCATGCTACGCAGCAATATGCGCGGCCACTTGGTGATGACCGATGATGGCATCACCGTGTTGCAGTCGAGAAAGGCCGTGAGCGCCGGCGTCCAGAGCACCCGTGGCACCGCGTCGAGGAAGCAGCGAAAGTCGTACGGGTTGTCCAAGCCCGTGGCAATCGCCTCGACGACGTGCGGAAGCGCGAGCACGTCTAGCGGCGTCGGACGAGCCGCCTTGGTCTGGCGTCCGCTGTCGGTCATCTTGGTTTGTGTTTGGAATCCAGCTTCGAAATTTCGTATCCGGATGCGCGATCGGATTGGCAGAAAGTTGGTCTTCAATAGCCAATCCAACGCAAGCAAACGTCGCAGGGTCGACATTTACCGTAGCTTTGTAGACACCACGGCCCAGGGGTACATAATACTAGTAGTGTTATGTACCCTGCCACGGCCAAGCCCTGGCTCCGCGCGGTCAAGTTCCGCGCACGATTTGCACTGGCTCGACAGGACCGATCAAG